ATCCCCGAGCCCCGTCGGCTGGATCCCTGCAATCGACAGTTCGACGTGGGCGATGAAGAGAGCGATTGGCGGAGTCAAAGCTTCCAATAACGAGGTTAAGAAAAAACGAAAACAGCTGATGTCATGCTGGCTCTCAAGGCCGACTCGTCGTCATGCAGTCGGGAGGTTTTCCTGGTCCCTGATAAGGTTAATTGTCCTGTTTAATGTGTGGTGTGTGTGTGTGTGTGTGTGTCGGTGTGTGTGTGTGTGTGTGTGTGTGTGTGTGTGGTGTGTGTGTGTGTGTGTGTGTGTGTGTGTGTGTGTGTGTGTGTGTGTGGTGTGTGTGGTGTGTGTCAGGGTGGCCAACCAGTCGATCACAAGCCTGTTTTAACACTAATGACCTGTTAATAATTCGTCCTTAAGGTGTCATGCAAATAGCTGCAACAGCATATCCAAGTACTCATGATACTTGGATGATTATATATTTTTTTTTCTGGGATTAGGTTGTATTTATTTTCATAATAATTTTACCCGTTACAATTACATTTATGGAATATGTTGAATCTTAGGCTGGTAGATCGCATCAGGGTAACTGTAGATAAAGTAGATTATATCTCAGAAAATTGGGCATCCCTAATATAAATATATATATATATATATATATATATATATATATATATATATATATATATATATATAATATATATATATAGCAATGAGAAAAAAGAGAAAATGACAGGGCAGAGAGGAGAAAGATAGATAGAGACTTGGTTGGATCGATAGATAGATAGAGATACACAGACGGAGAAAGATTGACAGATAAAGAGAAATACATAGACAGAGTAAAAAAGTCGAAGGGTTTCTCTCTCTCTCTCTCTCTCTCTCTTTTTTTTTTTTTTTTTTTTTTTTTACCCTAATTCTGACCCATCAACTTTTCTCCAGAAAAGAGGGTTCGATTCGTCATCTGGCAGAGCAAGATTACCTGAGGATGACGTCACAAAGATCTCATCGCGCCTCCAACTTCTCCTTAAGAAAAAAAAAGGAAAAGGAAAAAGAAAGAAAAGACAAGAAGAGAGAAAAAAAGGAAAAACGTTGAAATGAAAGACACTCGCTCTCCTTTTCTCCAACTTGAGCAAGATAGCAATTCGATTCACCAACTTGGCGCCGGACATCTTCTCAAGATTCTAAAGGAGAAATTTCAGGGAATTTATAAACATTCAGCATCCATATCACGTATGTTTCTTGATGTGCTAATGAGGTCTTTTGCAATATTCATTGAATACACTATATTCATCATTTCCTTGCTCCGTCTAAGCAAGTTTATCGAGATGTTTGTCTCTCTTTTTATGGGTCTTCTCTATGAAAAAAAAAAGTGAAGTGCATTGTTTGACAAGAAACATCATTATTTTGTGTATACTTCCCATTCCATTTTTTTTTTTTCTATAAACAATATAAATCTGAGAGATTTCGTACAGGGAAAGCAAAGAAAGTTTCCTTCGACGCTGCTGCTTCAAAAAAAGCGTTTTAGTAATGCCAGTCACCAACAGATGGTGCCACCAATACCGATAACTTCGCTCTTTGGTGATGCCATCTGTTGGTGGCAGGCACAAGGAAAATTAACTACTTTGGGCGCCACAAAAAAAAAAAAAAAAAAAAAAAAAAAAAAAATGGAGATGCAAAACTGCTTCAGTTTACCCTCTTTGCTGGTTGCGAAGATCCATCCGAAGGAGAGAGGAAGAGAGTACAAAAGAAGAGGAGGAAGAAACGAGAAAAAGACGGAAAAGGGGAAGGAGGAAGAGAAGTATAGCAATAAGAGAGATGGGGTTAAGAGGTCGTCTTAACAAAAGCAATAATCCTCAGCAACGGATATATTCCCATAGTGAAATAATAGTCAAAATAATCTCTAAAGGCTTTGAGTACAAGAGGCCATCGAAGTCAAAACAGTATCAAAGACAGTACTTACATTTCTCCTTCTCTCTCTCTCTCTCTCTCTCTCTCTCTTCTCTCTCTCTCTCTCTCTCTCTCTCTCTCGCTCTCTCTCTCTCTCTCTCTCTCTCCCTCTCTCTCTCTCTCTCTCTCTCTCTCTCTCTCTCTCTCCCTCTCTCTCCTCTCTCTCTCTCCTCTCTCTCTTCTCTCCCCTCTCTCGCTCTCCTCTCTCTCTCTCTCCTCTCTCTCTCTCTCTCCTCCTCTTCTCGCTCTCTCTCATCTCTCTCCTCCTTCATTCCTCCTTCCTCATGCAACAGAGACCAAGCCTTCCAAGAAACAGCTCTTTCTTTGGCAGTTGAAGATGATGGTAATGATGGCTGGATCAGGCGATGGAAATGACACGAGAATGCCAAGATGGTAGTGATGAAAGAGGTGGAAGTGATGCCATGATGGTGATGATGAAATGACATGATTACGGTGAGGACAGAAATGGCGTAAATGGTGATGACAACGAAAATGACGATAAGATGACAATGACGTTTCGTGAGATTATCAGAAGTTTGCCATGACGCAACAATGACAACATGACAAATTGACATGATCAAATTGCTGGAAGTGAAGACGATGTTCATCTGACACTGACCTCCCCCAAACCCCCTCTCCCCCAACCTCCTCCTCCCCCTCCTGAAAGTGAAGACGATGATCATCCGACACAGACACGCTTTCTTGTTTACCTCCCCCAACCCTCTCTCCCCCCATACCCCTCCTCTCCCCCTAAACCCCCTCTCGCCCACCGCTCCTCTCCCCCCACCCCCTCCCTCCTCTTCCCCCCCTCCCTCCCTCCCCCCTACCCCCCTCTCCTCCCCACCCTCTCCCCCTCTCCCCTCCTCTCCCCCTACCCTTCCTCTCCCCCCCCATGACAGACCAAATTACCCCGCCGGGGAAGGGGAGCGAGGCGAGCCGAGTCCGCCCCGAGAGCAACAACTCGCGACCTCATCACGGTAATGAGGCAAGGGCGCCGCGTGAGACGACTTCCTCCTCCCCGAAAGCAGACGGATGACGACCCCCGCGAAAGATATCCTTCTGGGTGGCGGCGTCTCGTAGGATATCCTTCTGGGTGGCGGCGTCTCGTAGGATATCCTTCTGAGTGGCGGCGTCTCGCGTAGGATGTCCTGCCGCGTCTCGTTAGGATATCCTTCTGGGGGGCGGCGTCTCGTAGGATATCTTCTGGGTCGGCGTCTCGTAGGATATCCTTCTGGTGGCGGAGGATATCCTTCTGGTGGCGGCGTCTCCGTAGAGTGGCCGGCGTAGGATATCCTTCTGGGCGGCGCGTCTCGTAGGATATCCTTCTGGGCGGCGGCGTCTCGTAGGATATTCCTTCTGGGCGGCGGCGTCTCGGGATATCCTTCTGGGCGGCGGCGTCTCGTAGGATATCCTTCTGGTGGCGCGTCTCGTAGGATATCCTTCTGGGCGGCGGCGTCCGTAGGATTATCCTTCGGGTGGCGGCGTCTCGTAGGATATCCTTCTGGGCCGGCGTCTCGTAGGATATCCTTCTGGGTGGGTTCCCCGCGCGTCTCGAGGATATCCTTCTGAGTGCCGGCGCTGAGGATATCCTTCTGGGCGGCGGCTCGTCTCGTAGGATATCCTCTGGGGAGGTGGCGGCGTCGTCGTAGGATATCTCTGGGCTCTCTAGATATCCTTCTGTGGGGGCGGCGTCTCGTAGGATATACCTTCTGGGCGGCGGCGTTCTTGTGGACTTCGCGTCGCGGAGAGGAATCAGAAAGGAGTCGGCGGCGATTGCAGGGATCGGTTGCGTGTAGGCTTGGCTGTAAGGAGGGAATGTTGTGAAAAAAGAGAATTGAAAAAGAAAGGAGAGGGAAAAAGAGAGAGAAAGAAGAGAGAATGTTAAGCTGGGAAGAAGAGAGAATGTTAAGGAGAATAGAGAAAGAGAGGCGGAGGAAATAAAATGGCGAAAAATAGGAAGTAAGAGCGAAAGAGAGAAGAGAGAGAGAGACAGGAAGAAAAATGGAGACAAAGCAGACCGAGGAACAGGCTAAAACATAAAGAGGAAGAGAAAAGAGAAAGAGAGAGAGTTAGACACCAGAAGACGAACGACCTGCATC